AACCCTAACCCTAACCCTAACCCTAACTCTAACCCTAACCCTAACCCTAAACATACCTCATATAAAAATATAAACATAATACTAAACTGTAAACAACCTAAAACTATACCTCGGGTACATATCTGTAGTACCTGTTACGACAACGACCCTTCGTGCGCTATTAACATACAAAGTTTCTTCAACTAGTAGATGTAGCTGTTCGTCATCTAGTTCGCCCGCTATATCTAGTGCTTGTTCTGTTGTTATTGCACCTGTCACGCTTTCAGTATCCGTTACGCTAAAAATTTGACTTTGCCTTCTTGAGTTGGCCATCTTGACACATCTGTTTCCAAAGCAACAAGGCCGATCATAACGCCATCTGTTATTAGCTTGTGCTAATGATTATTGACGCGAGATGGCGCCAGTTGCGTTCAATGTTTTGGTAAATTTTGTAACATCTGTGGCTCCTTACACACATTTCTATTTCTATGATGTAAAACTTGTTATTGCCAAGAATTTTCTTAAAATAACTCCACGTGAATATAAGAAGACATCTAGCTAGGTAATCGGTCTAAAATACTAGTTAAATGCTCAGAGTAAAGCCTAAAGTAAAGCCAAAGGTGTACACAGTACAGTCTATGATCTCTATTTGCATGACACTGACAGTGTCAGTGTGGCTCATACTCATACTCATACTCATAGTCATACTCATAGACATAGGGTCTATGTCAATAGTCTACTCAATAGTCTATGTCCCCACAGGCACTTGAAGCGTTTCAATAAAATATAATGCTAACTAAATACGAAATATATTTACCATCTACCAAATTCTTAATGTTTCTATAGGTAGTATACTCTCTTTCACCTATTTTTTTTGTGCTATTAATTATTATTGCCGACAGTTTCCTGTAAATTCCGTCCAAATCCTACGTGCAACCATATGGGTGTTGCTATCTCCCGGGCGTGGAGGGACAGTCACGTGATGCAGTTGACGTATACTTCAAAACTTAACAGTAACAATAACCCTAACTCCAACACTAACTGTAACACTAAATATTAGTATTAGTAATGTCACGATCATCGGTTGAACGGTGGCTTGATCCAAGCGCTTGGTTATCAAAATCCATAATCGATTTCATCAAAAGAAAAAAAAGAAGAAATAAATGTAAAACTTGAACAAGAAAACTTGGAAAAGTGATGAGAATCAGATATATCATCGCTACTATACAAGTTATCCTTTATTAACATACATGTATTATACACACAGTAGTAAACAATGCAAAACAAACAGTAAACAGGGCGAAACAAGCACATACATGCACACACGCACATGCACACGGCGTTACGCACACGCAGGCATTCAAGACCCCTAGTAACCGATTGTAACCGATCATCGGTTACTTGGGTCCAACCGATGATCGATTACGAAATTACAACCGATTGACAACACTACTAAATATCTATATATCGGATATCTATATATAGGGGTGTCATCCACAAAAATTAATCTATGGTGTGGGGACAGATATCATGATGCAAAAACCCTAACCCTAACCCTAACTCTAACCCTACCTTAACCTTAACCCAAACCCTAACCCTGATACTAACCCTAATCCTAACACTAGTGCTGCCACGTTGCGGTACTGTCTCTCCACGCCCGGGGGATAGCATTTCTCCAACCATATACGCTGCAGGCGGCCTTTGCCCTCGCGGCGTGCACTGTTGCACGCTTACACTTATAATTATATATATAGAGTTACACTATATATATAAGTGTAACCGTACAACAGTGCACGCCGCGAGAGCAAAGTGCCTGTGAGCCTGAGGTCGTGGTGTATTACACAATACACTGTTTACATTTTGTTGCATGATATGGCCTGTCACTGTCAGGTTGCCCGATTCTCCTTGTCATGTATATACGCTACACGTTACAAGTGTACATGTTGTATATCGTATATAGTTCCTTGATAATGATACCGACTACTACATAATACATTGAAGCAACAAGACAAGTACAAGTCCACGAGCAGGCTCACTTTAAAGTTGCAGTACCCAGGCATAAGCCTTATCGCGAATCGGAACCGTATTGCGTCATGGGATAGGAAAAGGGACAATAGCGCTGCGAGCGGTTAGCATAACGCTGATAACGCGCGCATATATTTGCTAATTAATTAGACTAATCGTACTTCAATAAACTCAAAATTCACAGAGATTATTGCTAAGGCGTGTTTATATATATGCATCTAGATTTCTAGAAATGTAACTCAACTCGTTCGCGAGATATGATAGTTAGTACACTTTTCTATCGCCCATAGCCGTGCGTATAGCCGGCTGCACGCAATAGTCGTCAGTATGCGCGGTACCGATTGATCAATGCCCCATTTTCCATCCCATCATGCTTTGTGGTGGTGTGCCATCTGGTGATATTTACCGATTCGCGATAAGGCTTGTTCTGTGTTTCCTCGCCACACCAGACCAGGTGCACTCAGTGACTCGCTAAAGCCTAGCGCAGACCTGCGACTTTTTCAGGCAACTCAACAGTGATTCTAGAATTGCTGTAAAAATTGCTGCGAAATCGCCACGTCTGCGGGAATGTGCAACTGCAACCCGTAGTGATTCTGGTCGCTTGCGACTAGTTGCAAGAAATCAAACTGTTTTGATTTTCAGCGACTCGTCGCTCCTAATTGCTCTGCCAGTTGTTAAATTGTAATTACATTACAGTGAAAAAAATACACGGGGGCTCGGGGCGATTTAGCCCCCGAAATGCCAAAAAGAGCCCCGGAAATGCCAAAAAAAGCCCCCGGAAATTTGCATAGCGTTCAATGCAAACCAAATTTTAGAGTGTTATTTTCATGCACGCAAGCTTGAAAAGTAGCCCCCGAAAAATACATTTTTTCCCTGAATTACAGGCACGTGATAATTATTCTTTACCGTAATAACGTTTTTTGATATTCGTAGTGAATATGAGCAACAACACACTCAACTATCGGAATGCAGTAATACTTGCACCCATGGTGAGAATTGGAACACTACCTATGAGAATGCTGTCGCTGGACTATGGTGCTGACATTGTATATGGTGAGGTCAGTATCAGTGCTATAAAACATATAAGGCTACTGTCGAATGCTGACTGTGTGCATTGTCACTCCATTAATGTCACTCCATCCAATGATTGTTGATAAACAAATAAATTCAAGATAATTTCTTGTGTGGTTTATTATATATTTATCACACTTATAAAACTCTAGTCAAATACTCTTTAAACCATCCTGTTGTCTCAGTCTTGTCTGTAACATTACCACCCTATTGCAGTAATAATACTAATATGCAAATGTAAAAAAAAGTTATTTCTTTTGTTTTGTTTTATTGCTTTACGATTTGGGTTGTACTTGTATAAATCAACTCATTTAATTGTAACGTCTAGCCAATGGCACCTTTTTGGCTACCATATCGACCACCCCTGAATAAAATACAGGTTCAAAGGCCAAGTTACTCCAACCAAGAATGATTACAAGGGCAGTGTTTTTTAATTCCTTTTACTGTTCTTCAGTGTGTCTCCATATAAATAACTTATTGAATTACTAGCCTGTTACCAGAGCTATAGCGGATAACTCTCTTGAGGATAATTTTGGAACCGTTCTTTTAATTGGCCAATTAGTCTTAGCGGCTCTATTCTAGCTTTTCTAACAGGTTTGTGAATTATAGTGATTACTGATCATTTGTAGGAGCTGATTGATCATAAGATGTTGCAATGCACAAGAACAGTTAATGGTAAGGTTTGATGCATTATTAAAGCTTTTTTGAAATGGCTTCATGGTCACACTTTACAATCCTTTTACAGGATGGTGTTCATTAACCACTGACAGTGCTTCGCAGAGATTTGCATTAGCCACCCGAAGCATACATTTACAAAAAAAGTAGTGATAACTGTCAAATTTGTTCTGATGTTTGTTATATAAAGTCCAAACTCACTAGGGGTTGAAGCATGCAACACTAATCTTTTCTCTTTTACAGAACTGCTTGGAACTATAGACTTTGTCCAGGAAGATGGATCTGTTGTCTTCCGAACATGTGAAAAAGAGGCAAACCAAGTTGTCTTTCAAATGGTATATAATTATCAGGAATTTATCAGTGAGCAAAATGAATGATAATTATTTTGATATAATCTATTAGTCTTGATTGTGATGAATTAACATGTATTCAAAGGTGTATCTCAGTAATACCTTAATATTGAATAATAACTAGTTTAACAATCAGTTATTTCAATATTTTTCCAGGGAACATCTGATGCTGCCAGATCTTTGAAAGTTGCAAAACTAGTGTAAGCAGCAATTATTAATGAGTTTAGAAATTAGAGAGTTTTTAGAGGTAAAGAATTTGCTAGGCAACACATTGCAATGTTTCATTTACAATCAATTGCTGTTGTTTATAAATTCCACGTTTTTAGCTCACCTTGACATCGTCAAGATGAGCTATTGCCATGGGGCATTGTTCGGCGTCCGTCCGTTTGTCCGTCAACATTTGGCTACGGTCAACGATAACTTGAGAACCGTTTGACCCACATGTTTCAAATTTCGCACAGTTGTTACTCCTATGGGAGAGGTGTGAACGTCCTATTTTGGAGCACACCCGTCAACCTACTTTCGAGCCACGCCCACTTTTTGGCAAAAATAGAAATGGCCTTAAGTCAGTTCAGGTTCAACGGATTTTGCTCATTATTGGTATGTGAATGAATAAGGACTGGCCCCAAAACATATCACAGGGGTTTTGATATTTGTTAAAAATTATGCAAATTAGGTATATTTTGGCAATTTCACTATGCATTTCAGTGTCTGCCTACGGTCAACGATAACTCAAGAACCGTTTGACCCACGTTTCAAACTGCATACAGTTGTTACTCCTATTGGAGAGATTTGAACGTCCTATTTTGGAGCATGCCAGTCGACCTACTTTCGAGCCACGCCTACTTTTTGGCAAAAATGGAAATGGCCATTTAGATTCATTCGATTTTGTTAAATTTACATACCTACCTACCTACCTATTCATACCTACGTGTAATATTGTGTTTTAGATTCTTCGTTACAGTAATTTGACTGGAATATTTTACTTTTATTTGCGCGATAATCGAAAACCAAAATGGCGATCATTTAGGCGTAGCATCATTTCTCGCCCAGATTTCAGACTTTCACATCTGAAACATTAATTTTCGCATCAAAACTAACCCTGAAACAAAACAGTAACATTTCTATTAGTATAAAACAGGGAATAAGGACATTTGATCACATTTCGGTCCGTCATAAATGAAACACTTACCAAATTTTAAATATCATCTCCCTCTTCTATCACACCCAAGGTGAGCTATAGTGTCATTGACGTTTTCATTTATGCATGTTATCTTCAATTAATTAATAGGTAGACAGTTTTTATTATTAATTTCTATAATGGCAGGGAGAATGATGTTGCTGCAATTGACATCAACATGGGTTGTCCAAAGGAGTTCTCCATCAAGGCAGGTGTTATCAAATATTATCAGATGATATGTATTGCCTATAATATTGTCAGCATGACGAGCTTAATCTCCAGTATTACATATTGCCATGCTTGTGTAGCAAAGTATGTATTGATACAGCTACAGATTTATAGGCTGATGATCACTGATTGATTGAAGCTTTGCCTGGGTGATTTTTCAGGGAGGCATGGGTGCTGCACTTTTATCTCAACCTGACAAGGTTCGGCAGGTAATGTGAGTGAAATCTGAGTTATAACATATAGAACATCAAGACAACATAGGTCTTTTATTTGTCTTCCTGGTAACGCGCATTGGTTATATTGTTCTTTTTTTAGCTCACCTTGACATCGTCAAGATGAGCTATTGCCATGGGGTGTCATCCGTCGTACGTCCGTCCGTCCATCCGTCCGTCAACATTTGGCTACGATCAACGATAACTTGAGAACTGTTTGACCCACATGTTTCAAATTGCATACAGTTGTTACTCCTATGGGAGAGATGTGAACGTCCTATGTTGGAGCACGCCAGTTGACCTACTTTCGAGCCACGTACGCCTACTTTTTGGCAAAAATGGAAATGGCCATAAGTCAGTTCAGGTTCAATGGATTTTGCTCATTTTTGGTATGTGAATGAATAAGGACTGGCCCCAAAATATATCACACGGGTTTTTATTTATTTTTATTTATTATGCAAATTAGGTTGATTTTAGCAATTTTTCTATGCATTTCAGTGTCTGCCTACGGTCAACAATAACTCAAGAACCGTTTGACCCACATGTTTCAAATTGCATACAGTTGTTACTCCTATAGGAGAGATGTGAACGTCCTATTTTGGAGTACACCAGTTGACCTACTTTCGAGCCACGCCTACTTTTTGGCAAAAATGGAAATGGCCATCAGTCAGTTCAGGTTTAATGGATTTTGCTCATTTTTGGTATGTGAATGAATAAGGACTGGCCCCATAACATATCACACGGGTTTTGATTTCTTTTTAAATTATGCAAATTAGGTAGATTTTGGCAATTTCACTAGAAATGGAGCACGCCAGTCGACCTACTTTTGAGTCATGCCCACTTTGGTAAAAATGAAAATGGCCATCTAGATTCATTTTATTTTGTTAAATTTACCTACCTACCTACCTACCTACCTACCTACCTACCTACCTACCTACCTAATCATACCTATGTGTAATATTGTGTTTTAGATTCTTCGTTACAGTAATTTGACTGGAATATTTTATTGCTTTTATTTGCACGATAATCGAAAACCAAAATGGCGATCATTTAGGCGTAGCGCGGTCTCTAGCCCAGATTTCAGACTGTTATTTCAGCGTTTCAAACATTTATTTTCGCATCAAAACTAACACCTGAAACAAAACAGTGAAATTTCTATTAGTATAAAACAGGGAATAAGGACATTTGATCACATTTCGGTTCGTCATAAATGAAACACTTGCCAAATTTTAAATGTTATCTCCCTCTTCTATCACACCCAATGTGAGCTATAGTGTCATTGACACTTTCATTCTTTATATTGTGTCGTTGTTTGTTTTTATTCATTAATCATATGGCAACGCATTGAATTTTCGTTTTATATTTTAACTGTTTCCACTTTGTTGTCATTTCATAGCCTGATGAAGAGCGATACTTCTCGAAAGCTGCTGATTAAAATTTAAAACCTTATTCTATTTTTCTACATTTATTTTCATATCCACATGGGTGTTCATGTGATTTTACGCCTAATTTTTATATATATGTACTATATATATCAGGAGTAGATAATAGGGAAGGAGTGTGACTTCAATAAACAAGGGAAATTCGTCATTTACTAGCCTTAGAATACATACGATTTACTACTTACGGATTGCGGGTGTATACGGGGAAACGATTTCGCACGATGCTAGGCGAATGTACTGTGTACGATTTGAGCTCAAGTTGGTTGAGTTACGCGTAGTAAATCGTAGGTATTCTAAGGCTAGTAAATGACGAATTTTTCTTGTTTATTGAAGTCACATTCCTTTCTTATTATCTACTCCTGATATATATATATATGTGGATGGATGGCTTGATAGATAGATAGATAGACAGATGAATAGATTAGATACATATATTAAGAGCATATTTTATGGATAACCTCCTCCATGTAAACGTTTGATGAAATTTATGTTGCACAGATTCTTACGACTCTGGTGGAAAATGTGCGGAAACCTGTCACATGCAAGATCAGGCTATGTCCAACAGTAAGTATGAAACACCCAGACTCATATAGATAAATGTTGAAAATACCCCTAAACAAATAACCTCAGAATTTTACGTCGGGCAGGACTAGAAATGTGCATTAATAATTTATTACTATTTATGCATTTATTACTATTTATGACACATTTTGTGAACTCACGCTCTTGACTTTAAAACATTATCCATATGAAAAACTGGGAACTATTCTGAGTGACGTTTATAAGCTCAAAATGCTATATTTAGAGGCAGTGCATGGTCATATTACTGGCACGACTCCTTGCTGTATTCTTTTCTTGAATCCTACTAGGGGTGTTTATATTTACAGCTGGAAGAAACGCTACATTTCTGCCACCTAGTGGAGAGCTGTGGAGTAGCAGCAGTCGCTATTCATGGTCGGCGCAAGGAGGAGCGGCCAAGGCATGCCAATCACAATGACATCATCAGGGAAATAGCCCATCAGATCAGCATACCTGTGATAGCAAAGTAATGTTGCTCGACTTAAGTGATGTATCGCTATTTAGTTTATTATAGAGTTGATACTAATGACGCAATGTTTATATTTTGGTACGGTTGATGAGGTGTACATGGTATAAAATGTTACTTTTGGCTTTTAATGCAGTGGTGGGTCAATGGATATCTCTAGCAATGCAGATGTGGAGAGATTTCGCAGTGAAACTGGTTGCAGCTCTGTGATGCTAGCACGATCTGCTCAGTGGAATGCTTCCATATTTAGAAAGGATGGCATTCTTCCGACCAATGATGTTATTCGTGCGTATTTGAAATATGTGAGTTCATATTATCTTAATAATATAAAGTTGCCACACGTGCACTGCAGCATATTAATAATTGCAACACTTCTACCACAGAATATCAATATTTGCAAAACATATGCCACTGACTGGCAATTATTGCAATGTGTGAACCAGAGAATATCAAGAACCCAACACATACACTACAGAATATCAATACCTGCAACACCTATACGACAGAATGTCAATAGTTGCTTATGCCAAGCAATATTTATCTTCATGGAGCAGTAACGTGTTTGTCTTGTTTCTCAGGCAGTTGACTATGACAACACATACGAGAACAGCAAGTACTGCATCCAGCAGATTCTGCATGAGCAACTGCAGACAAGCCTCGGCTTCAGCTTCAAGGCAACCAAGTCGATGGCCGACATCTGGTAAAGCTGGGTTTACACTATCGACTTTATGCAGGCAACTTGGCGTTTTTCTTCTTTCTACCAACCTCCTGTAATACCACCAGTAATACAAAATCTAGTATTCTGCACAACTGTTAAGTTGGCAACGCCCATAACCGACAGCAATGGCTGTAGATTCGAGGCTCGTAGCAAAAATCCCGCTCAATGTCGGGATGCTCCTCACTCTGCGCCGCGTGCAATGTAGTGAGCGTGTCCGTCTGCTGCAGCCAGCTGTGGGACATGGAAGGTTACCTGCGTGACGTGACGGCAGCGAGGAAGCAGATGGAGACGAGCCTGAAGCGACTGCATGCGGCGAGCGAGGCGGATGATGGCGGCAGGAAGCACCTGAAGGCCGCGGCAGACGATGACAACGACAACCACGTCCAGATGCGCGTGAAGTTTGTGAGGTGAGCGAGACTTGTCGCCGCGTGAGTGCGTAGGTGACTCGCCTGTGTCTCTGATTACTTCTATACGTGTCTCATTGTCGGGTGCCAATAATCCAGGTTGGCTTCAACGTTGATTCTGATTATATTTACTGCTTATTCTGATTGTGACTACGTTACTGATTCTGATCTGTGTGTCATGAAGGCTGTTTTAGTATGGTATCATTCAGTGCAACACTTAATATGCTGCCTGCAGGAGTGACTTCAGAGAAGACAAGCTGCCAAAGACTTTGCTGCTAGAGTGGCGGCGGCGGGTGAGGCAGCCACCGGCACCGTTCCATACCGAGGAGAGGCCGAGTGATCGTCAGTTCAGATCAACTGTTGAACTTGATGGCAAAAAGTATTCATCATCCCTCTGGTAAGATGGAGGGTGCCATTTGATAGCTTTATAAATGACACAGTGAGTGCATATGCGGGCATCGGGTGGTTTTTTTACTGCCAGGAGATGGCTCAGGATGACCAGCATACATCTAGCTCAGTCTCTAAATACTTAATTACCCTGATGTGCAGATTGATTATGAGTTAGTAAGCTTGTAGTGATTATAATATAGATTTATAACAATAGAGAGACTGTTCCTTTTCTCTCTCTTCTATCTTTCTCTCGCTCTCTCTCTCTCTCTCTCTCTCTCTCTCTCTCTCTCTCTCTCTCTCTCTCTCTCTCTCTCTCTCTCTCTCTCTCTCTCTCTCTCTCTCTCTCTCTCTATCTCTCTCTCTCTCTCACAACAATTGAAACCTATGTCTTATTGTTAGTCGAAAATTTAGTAACAATACACACGTAATGTAAGTAATGTAATTCTTTATTACTTTCTTTCCCAATTTACAAGAGGTGGCCCATAGCACCACAGTCTATATTTGGTCATGCTAATACCATAGCTAGCATAAGTGGAGAGTCATAACTATGTCTACATTAACATGTTTCATCAAATGAGCATCAAGGATCATATAGTACATTGTTCAAACTACGTGCATAACGTTACTTAATTTGACAGAACTGGTTTTCAGTTTTCACTGTTGTTCGGTCTGTAGTGTGTGTGCTCTTGATTTTATTTGTATAGATATTACCACAGACTGATGACTACATTAATCAGTGTTTATTTCTCTAAGGTAATCCTGCCTATTTTTTGTTGCTTCAGGGCCAAGAGCAAGAAATACGCTGAGCATGCCGCAGCCATAGTATGCTTGCGCCACCTAGGGGTACTAAGTGAAACTGTGAGCAGTGAACAGGATACTGTAGAATCTAATGGGTGTGTGATCAGCACAGAGAGCTGTCATGCTATCGAGGATGTATAATCCTACTAACACCGCTTAAATAACGAGTTTAATATATATTGCCAGTTCTCACCAAGGTTGCCGAGTTCTACCAGTTTGGTTGTTTAGTTACAAGATGAATTATGAATCCATACTAACAATATACATACAAATAGGTTCGTGGTTATAGCAATACAAGTACTGGTGCTTCCCCCTGTGCTAATCAAGTATAATGAGCGTTTATTTACACTTGAAGATAGGTTTAAATGTTCAATGCAATATGTATTATGTGTGCCATTCTATATTGAGACTACACATACAAATAGGTTCGTTGCTTCCCCCTGTGCTAAGCAAGTGTAAAGAGCCATTTTGTATACACTTTGCTGAGGATGTAGTTTGTGACATTGTTGGACCATTTCAGTAATAAAATGTATGTAATTAAACACGAATTATGTGTAACAAGGCATCTGATTGGGTAAAAAGGGCTATAATTTTACCGCGGTTAAATTATCTCTACGTTAAGAGCAGTAGCAGTAGCAGCAGCAGTCGCGACAGACGAATAAGAATGAATAATGAAAATGGCGCAGAAAATGAGAAAAGATAAAGAAGAACAAAAGAAGCTGGAGAGCCACAATGTAAATAAGGGCGATTGTCAAACTTTTGTAGTATTAGTTATCTAGCTGCATATACTATTTATACACATATTTAGTTCAGTGTATGTATTGATAGTACCAAAACAGAAAGAATATTTAATTGAAGAAAGAATAAGGAAGATGGTGAAGAAGAAGAAAATAGAACACTAATAAGAAAGGAGCGATGTGGGGAGAAGAAAAAGACAAATAGGAAAAAGAAGGGGCATGTGCGTGCATAGGGTATCTGTCACTATTTACCTTTACTCCTTACCTTTATTCTCTTGTGTAGATCTACACGTCCCTGTGCGCGCGTCCGCGTACTGGCGGGCGGAAGGATGGATGGGTGGATGAATGAATGAATTGATGGATGTGCGTGCGTGCGTGCGTGCGTGCGTGTGTGTGTGCGGGCCGAACGAGGTAGGCCAACGGTGTTATACCGTTATTTGTTTCGCCGCTGTCTATGATTGTGAATGGGGGGCGGGAGCGGGCAATATCGCCGTACCGTGAGCCGAGAACACAGAGTGAATACCGGGAACAGAGCCGTCAGCACGCACGCATGTATGCATCCCTCCACTCGTGTGCACGTACGTATACCCGTATTCACATTTCACACACACGCGCGCGCGCACACTAACCACACGAACCCTTCACACACGAACCGCCCCCCCCCCCAACACACACAAACACTCAAACTGCGCACACAAAACTATGGCATACACAATTATGCAGGCTTTAAATTAAACATGTCTATTTTCTGATTGTGTTTGTCTGTTGGTTTATTTGTTTTGTGTGCGCGCGCGCACAAAAGTCACCCATCCTAGCGCCACATCCCATATGTCCTTATACCTCAGTGCCCCCCCCCCCCAGTGAGTGTGTGTGTGCGTGCGCGTGGTCGTGCTCGTGTGTGTGGCTCTATCCGGAAGTCACCCTGTCTGTGTTACGTTCACTATAAAAACGACACGCGCGACAGCGCGCTACTAGAGCCAGCGACGTGCTGACAACAGCGCGACCGCCACCAGCCAGTGAGTATGCAATATACACGTGCGGTAGCGTGCGTGTTGCCTGCTGCACGACACGTGCGTGCTTGTCGTACGTTACACGGGCGTTGCGTGGCGTGCTGCTGTTACGTAACACGTGCGTGCTTGTGTGCACGTATCAGTGCGTGGTGTGAACGCTACAGTGCGCACGGCGTGTGCACGTACCACGCTAACTACGAACTCGCTTATAACGAAAACCAATGCCAAGAGCTATGACCAAAAAAAGCGTCAAAGGCGCCGCCTGTCTGTGTAGTATAGTATTATTTATTTATTTTAGTTGAGTAGTAATTTTATAATGTTTTCTCAATAAAATAATGCATGCTGCGGTATGCTGGAAACACCTGCGGAAATTTCGAGTGTTTACGGCACCTCGTCAGCTCGTGTTAAGTTACGCAAAGGTTTACGTAAATTTTAGCTTGATGAATCGCCCTAAAACGGCCTCGCCTGGCGTACGCGAAATCGTACGAAAATTTACTAACATAGCCTGTGTTGTTGAATCGCAACTAAGCAACGTCGCATTGCGTACACAAGATTTACGCAAAATATTTTGCGTACGCAGCTTGATGAATCATGAATCTACCCCCTGGACCCCACCCGTCAGTGCAAGCGCACACGGTATCAGGGGCGTGTACAGGGGGGGTCCAGGAGGTCCGGACCCCCCCCCTACTCGCGCAGAAAACGCATCTGAGGGGGTCTAATTTCAAAAAAAATCGGGGGGAGAGCCCCCCAGACCCCCCCTTCGCGTGCTCCTGTACACGCACCTCGTTTCGCCCCCCCCCTAACAAAATACCCTTGGCGGCCGCCGTTCGTTTCAGCCGGCGTTCACAACTTATGCCCAACGATAGTCTAACTTATGCATAGCGCGCGGCAGCGTATCGCCGACGATCACGTGTCGTAGCCTATAAAAAGGCTCTCCCGCTCGACGATTCAAATCATAACGCCACTAGACATCGCAGTATCAAACATCACCGTCGCAGTATCAACATGCCAATTACATTTTTATATACTTAATTCCCCTAAACGCTGCCAATACGCCATTATACGGTAGCTGTAATGTTAGAAACACGTTGAGTAAGTTTTTGTGGTCGTCCGGAACACGTCAATACGTCAATATGCGTTGGAGACAAGTTACACATAGGTTCGAAAGCACGTTTACTCATTAAGTTAGAAATAAGTTTTGGTAATGCGCTAGACATTATTCGACGTACATTTCGACTTAAATAGTAAACTTGGCAAGTAACGTGTGTGGAACGTGTGTCAACGCATCGCATAACTTACCCTACAACTTCATCGGCCCGCGTATGCGGACGTCATGGGTACGCTGGCATACGTGGAAAATTTTGAGGCATGCTTCAAAAATTTTTCGACACCTCGCACGTACTACGACGTATACCAGCGTGCTTCAAGCGTGCTACAGCGTGCTTCAGCGTGCTTCAGCGTGCTCTTAACTTATACAAAGCTTTCACCATAACTTATTCGACGTACGCCAGCGATATCACAAAATTTTTGATACGTCCGGCATACGCTGGCTAAAAATCGTCAATGTGTGACAGGGCCATACAATCTAAACGGCTCGACCCGTACGGATTCGAAAAGTCGGGACGTAGGGTGGGTAATCCGAAAACGAGTTGGGAATGCTGTCGAAGCGGGGGTCAAAGGTCAAGAGGTGTAAAAGAAGGGGGAACATATCCTCGTTAATTAGGTATAAGGAAGGAAAATGCAGAA